GCTATTGTTGTTGGTGCTGCTGTTGTTGTTGTTGTTGATAATATTGTTATTTTTATTATAATTATTATCATTATCATTATCATCATCATTATTATTATTCCTCTTAGCATCATTGTTCATCTCTCGTACTTACACACCATCGAGTATTATCATCTCCCGGGTCCGTATTATCGTTGTCATTATGAAGGATGAACAACTAAACTGCTTCTGAATGGCGTTTTGCAGAGTCGCGTGCCATCTCTGCCTGCATATCGTTCCGGCGTTCTTTTTGATGGCCTGTGTTCGTTTAAATGGCCCTACATAAAAGGTTTGGGCTCTTGGGAAGGGGTACTCTGTGGGGATTGGTACTCTGTGGGGATTGGTACTCTGGGGGATTGGTATTCTGGAGGATTGGTAGTCAGGGTATTGGTACTAAGGGGGGGTTTGTACTCAGGGGGGATTGGTACTAAGGGGGATTGGTACTCAGATTGGTACTCTGGGATTGGTACTAAGGGGGTTTGTACCAGGGGGATTGGCACTAAGGGGATTGGCACCAGGGATTGGTATTCAGGGGTGTTAATCCAGCCACGTGAGTGTATAGTAAAGTGTGTTAATCCAGCCACGTGAGTGTATAGTAAAGTGTGTTAATCCAGCCACGTGAGTAAAGTGTGTTAATCCAGCCACATGAGTGCATAGTAAAGTGTGTTAATCCAGCCACGTGAGTGTATAGTAAAGTGTTAATCCAGCCACGTGAGTAAAGTGTGTTAATCCAGCCACGTGTCCTTAGTCTTGTCAACAAAACACATCTCTCCCCCGTCACATAACAGCCTGGCGTGTGTCTGTAAACTAAACGTGTATGTCTTGTCTCCCACACAACTTTATACTTTTTTGAGAGACAGAGAGAAATTTGTGACCCTTTTATTTCAGGGAACAAACTCCGTGTCTTCTGTCAAATAATTGTTGTCAGGAAGTGGGTCTCTCTGCCAACAAACTTTGAGTCGTTTTTATGAGTGATTTTTGTGTGAAACTGTTCTCTTTTTTTTGTGAGGTAATTTATGGTCTTCGGTTAGTTAATTATTGCTTGAGACTGTCCTTATGTGAACTGACCTCCTCTCTCACCTCTCTCTCTCGTTCGTTCGTCTGGTGATTAAATGCTGACGGAGATAAAATTCGTCTTGGGTCAAATAAATTAAGTCATTTCTGCTCTCAAACTTTTTTTTTATGAGGTACAAGATTACTATATGTTCCTCTAAAATATATATGTACCTTACTATATGTAATGTGTATATTGAGAACGAATTTGTGTTTATCTTTTGAAATATCTGTTGTTTTGAAACTTTTTTGGGGGGGGGGCGGAGACAAACTTTTGGTGTTGCGTCCAATAACTGTTGTCAGAAGTGTTTGTTTATTTTTCTGGTAACAAACTTAATGTCTTGTGTGTGTGTGTGGAGGTCCCAGCTGGTGTTCCTCCCTAGTTGAGAGAGAGTGAGGCATCTTTGTACCGGGAACTCAGAACACCATCAGGTTTTAATCCCCCAAGATCCAGAGTTGGTAAAGTTTCTGTGCGAACTACTTCAAGGAGTAAATATTAAGGGAGAGGCAGAGTTGTGGTGATGGTGGGGGGTTGTGGTGGGGGAGGAGGGGGTGTAGAGTTGTGGTGGGGGAGGAGGGGTTGTAGGATGGTGGTGGGGGGAGGGGGATATATAGCCTGACACTGCCAAATCCTCTTGTTTAGGATGTTTTTACTTTTGTTTTGTTTTCGTCGCGAAGTAAAACCCACACTGGATATTTTTCTTCCTCTGTGGCTGTACAGTTCCAGTTGGTTGGTTGGGGAAGTTTTGGTGAAGTTATATGTAAAGTTTGATTTTCTTATCACCTGAAGAATAGAAGAAGATTAGTTTTCCCTATGGTGAGTTACCTATGTAGGCAATAGCAGCTTGTAAACCTATAAAGAATTATTTCAGCAGTTCATGGGTGTTCGTGCCCCAGTACAGGAGCCTCTAGTGCAGCCGTGTCAAACTCAAAACCTTTCGAGGGCCAATTTTTATTTTAGTTACCCTCTTCAGGGACAACACAAGTGTTATATCACATATTTGCAGGATTGAAGTTTATAGCTTCACACATTGCCTTACCTGGCTTGCCAGGAGTACCTTTTGGGTTTGTCTGATCTTAAGTATGTCAAATTATTTTACTTAATAAACATGATTAACGATAATAATTAGATAGCAAAAGGCAGATATATATATATATATATATATATATATATATATATATATATATATATATATATATATATATATATATATATATATATATATATATATATATATATATATATATATATATATATATATATATGCATGCATGCATTATTTTGCGGCTACAATTTATTATAAAATTCCATTTGTGTTTTGAAACTTAAGAGCTCATATAAATTCAATTATTGCCACAATGGTGTAAAGATCATTTCTGAATTTACTGACTCAATCTTATCTGCATTTCTTCCTTCATATCTATTTCTATCAAATTTCGCGCGGGCCATGAGTTTGACACCCTGCGAGTCTAGTGGTTCTCCTGATCAGTCAACACATCCCAGTCTCTCATCTATGCTTAATATGGCTCCATTGACCTTTATCCTAAGAGTGATGGGATTTTAGGAAGAACAAGACTAAAAACAAGTCCTCTTCCAGTGTCGGGTTGAAATATTATTCTCTTCACGTTTGACTCGTTACTCATCTCTAGAGGTTGTGTCGATGGGGTGACGTAGGTAATTGTTCACTATGGGAGACTTCATCATACGCGTCTCTAGGGTATAGTGAGTAATTATGCCCAGGGATCTATCAGCCTTAGTCAAGCTTTAGACAGGATCTTGGCTGATATTGTCGGCCTTTGACAGTGCGACTTTAATTTGCCTGCTGGGTGTGAGTATATTATGTAGGTAATTAAGACTTCCGCTCTCATATCGTGGCGTGGTGATGGTGAGCTCTTGGTGTTCTATTGTTTGTTTGTACCGGGAATTTTAAGGGAGGGGGGAGGGGGGGGGGAGGGGGCATAGATAGGTACCCCAGTAATCAATGACATCAACACTACCATCGGGTTGTGACGCTACGGATTGAGGGCTCTTACGTTAGCGCTGGAGGCTGTCCAAGATTGGCTTTAATCCACACACACACACACATCCTCTCCTACCTCCCTTCCTTCCCCCTACTACCTCCTCCCCCCCTTTTCCCTACCTCCACCCTCCTTTCCGTACCTCCACCCCCTTCCCTTACCACTACCCCCCGTCCCCTACCTCCACCCCAGTCCCCTACCCCCTATCCCCTTCCTCCCTCCCCCTTCCCTCCTTTACACCCGACCCTGGCAAAATGGCAGTGCCCTTAAGATACTAATGAGGGAGGGTCCTCTGAGGGTGTAGGAGGGAGAAGAGGGTGTATCTGGCGGAGGGAGAAGAGGGTGTATCTGGCGGAGGGAGAAGAGGGTGTATCTGGCGGAGGGAGAAGAGGGTGTATCTGGCGGAGGGAGAAGAGGGTGTATCTGGCGGAGGGAAATGTTTGGAGTTGGCTCGGGTCCTTGTTATAGAAGACTCCATTAATGATAGTTACCTCGTCACTCTGCCGTTCGTCTTCATGTTGTGTTTTAAGTTAGTTCAGTCGTTGGAGGCTGCAGTCCCCGGGTCAGGCCTACAGGAGCCGTCTGAGGGTGAAAAATACTGGAGGAGGGGGAGGAGGAAGAAATAGAGGAGGAGGTGGAAGAAATAGAGGAGGAAGAAGAGGAAGAGTAAGAATATGAGGGCTGCAGTGCTGGCTGGGAAGAGAGAGTCAAATTAATGCGTATCTTACTTTCTCTCTCTACAATATATATCTTTTTCACTCTTCCATGTTTCCTCTTGCTGTATGGCGCTGTAGGATAGTGGTAGTGGTGGTGGCGGCTGTTCTTAGTGGTGGTAGTGTTGTTGTTGTGGCGGTAATGTGGCTCTTTGTGGTGGTGATGTTCTTAGTGTTAAGGGTGGTGAGGTTTTAATTGTTGTTGGTAATTGTGGTTGGGATGGTAGTGTTGTACTTGCTGGTGGTGGTGGTACTGATTGAGTTGTTGTTGGTGGTAGTGGTGATTGAGTTGTTGTTATTGTTGTTATGATGGTGGTAGTGATGATGGAAAAGGAGAGAGAGAGAGAGAGAGAGAGAGAGAGAGAGAGAGAGAGAGAGAGAGAGAGAGAGAGAGAGAGAGAGAGAGAGAGAGAGAGAGAGAGAGAGAGAGAGAGAGAGAGAGGAGAGAGAGAGAGAGAGAGAGAGAGAGAGAGAGAGAGAGAGAGAGAGAGAGAGAGAGAGAGAGAGAGAGAGAGAGAGAGAGAGAGAGAGAGAGAGAGAGAGAGAGAGAGAGAGAGAGAGAGAGAGAGAGAGAGAGAGAGAGAGAGAGAGAGAGAGAGAGAGAGAGAGAGAGAGAGAGAGAGAGAGAGAGAGAGAGAGAGAGAGCCGTGATCTTCTGGACAAGTTCTAAACTAGGAAACTTCCCATGGGCTGGCCCTCTAAAAGGTGGCCCTCCCTCCATTTTTCATCATGTCCGGCTCTTTGTGAAGTTTCCGGCGTCTGTGAGTCCTCGCGGCCTCCTGCGGCTCTGTACTGCCTCTGGTGGATTCATTATGGAGCTCTGTACTTAGTCTGATGGATCCACTTTGCTACTTGCGGCTACATATTGCCTCCTGCGGCTACATATTGCCTCCTGTGGCTACAAGCTGCTTCCTGCGGCTACATATGGCCTCCTGTGGCTACATGCTACTTCCTACACCGACATACTGCCTCCTACGGCTCTGTATTTCCTCTTATGAATCAATTATGTGGCTCTGTACTTCCTCCTGCACACACACACACACACACACACACACAGACACACACACACACACACACACACACACACACACACGATAAAGAACTGTAGTGAAGTGTAAGGAGCCATGGCTAGAGCAGAGAGCTGTCAACACCAGACTGCTCACGTCACGTCCTTCATCTGAATACTGGGAGGGAAAAATGACGCGTACACTAGACCAATTAGTGGAGGTCCTCTTGAACGATCTTGAAAAGTCCTACGAAGATCACCTGCTGAGGGGAACAACAGGTGCTGCACAGTCTGACAGCTACCAACACCCTCACACAACTGTCTCATGGTGCTGGTTGGGGGCGGTAGTGGTGGTAGTAGTGGTGTTGGGGGTGGTAGTAGTGGTGTTGGGGGCGGTAGTGGTGGTGGGGGTGGTATTAGTAGTCCTGCTGTTCGTGATGGTAGTAGTGGTGGTTGTGGTGATAGTAGTAGTGGTGATGGTGCTAAAAGTCGCTTGATGTTTCTGGTCTTAAGTTTTTCGTTTGCATGTTATGTTATGTTATGTTATGTTATGTTATGTTATGTTATGTTATCAAGTCAAGGACAACAGTACAACCACCGGAACAAGTCGAGGTACTGAGACTTTTAACACAACACAACACGAGTATAATACAGGATAGATGTATTATTTTATACACGTAGGCAACAGTATCAAGCCATGTGTTTATTTTACCATTCTACACATAAAACAGTACCGTGTGTGTGTGTGTGTAGCGGCGGCCTTGTTGGTGCCTGGTGGAGGGGCAGTAGAAGGCCCCGACGACGCTGAGGGGGCCGCCGGGACCCTAGGCATACCAGGAATCAATACTAAGGACGTCACCTACCAGGAAAAGGATAACCGGAGGAAATGGGATGAGGGGGGAAGTAGCAGTAGTAGGGAGGAGAGGGAGGGAGAGAAGAGGGAAGGAGAGAGGGAGGGAGGCGTGGGTGATGGAAGGGATACACGGCCCTAACCCGGTGGTGGGCCTCAGGCGGCGACCATACTCCTGCTGGGGTAATATTCGCCCACCAGAGCCCTCCACCGCACCACCAGGCCCTCCACCACACCACCCAGGCCCTCCACCACACTACCAGGCCTCCATCACACCACCCCCTCCACCACACCACCCCACCTCCACCTCCCCTCCACCACACCACCCTACCCTCCACCACACCACCCTACCCTACCACACCACCCCACCTCCACCACCCCACCCCTCCACCACACCACCACACCACCTACCTCCACCACACCACTCTACCCTCCACCACACCACCCCTAGGCCCTCCACCACACCACCCTACCCTCCACCACACCACCCTACCCTCTACCACACCACCTCAACCCTTCTTACCATACAGAAGCCTCAACTAAAGATGAGACGCAAGATAGAGATTCCAATACCCTAGAAGGAACATGGCTACTGAAATCAGACTCCCTCACTCTAAGATCCCAACGCCTTAAATAACAAATGACTGTCTACGAATGAACTTAACTGCGCTCGGTGTCTGAACTTGGGACGTAGTCTGTTGAAACGGCCACAGAAAATTTTCTCGGCTGGGTTAAAGATCATTTGACGGTCAGCCAAGTTTGAGTTAGATCACTTTAAAACGACTCCCAAGATCCTGCAGTCTGTTAACCGCTGATGAAGAACTATATGGTAATGCGGACGGTCTTACTGCCTTCAGAATCAAAATAAACAATTTTCCAACGCGAACGAGATGGTTTTAAATGAAGACGAGTCACAGTTCACACAAGATGCAGATTAGTGCCCTTGACTTAGGACATTCATAAGGGTGGGCAGCTGGGGGCGGTGGGAGGGAGAGGTGAGAGATGAAACAGTATCACATATCGTTTAAGTCAATTAGGGAGCATAATTCACGTTATGAATGAATACAAGAGACGTACTATACCCAACCACACCCTCACCCAACCACACCCTCATCCAACCACACCCTCACCCAAAGAGATGTGTGGAGCCCTTGAGAGTGTATTGGTGCGGTGCGGTGCTGTGCTGTGCTGTGCTGGAGTAAACCTTCTGTACATATAGTGTGTGTGTGTCTTAACTCATCATATGATTTACTGTTTATTTTGTATCTCATCAAATATTCATCATAGTTTCTGGGACTCATATAAATGTATCTATATGTTGTGTCATATCCAAGTAAAAGAAACGATAATATTTACTAACTGAACACAAGAGAGGACTTTGTTCATATCCTCCAAAAATATACCGTAAATATTCAAGATCAAAGAGTTTATTTTTTTCCGAGGATGGTAGTCGATAGAGTCGTTTTAAGAGTGTGTACATGACTGACTTCACCCTCACTGCGAATGGAAACAACTTAGTGTGAAACAGAGGCACCACGAAGACCTGCCTGCTGGTGGAGTGACTCAGGGGGGGGGGGGCACCGGAGACTATCACGCCATCTTCTACAATCAATTCCGACTTAACTGAGAAGGACAAGTTTAGGAACAAGTTACATAACCTACTCAGAATTCGTCCTATTTTTTGGGTTTTGTTTACAACTCTCGCGCCGAATTAACTCTACAATCTGTAACTCATCCACGACTAATAACAAACATCTTCACCCAACCCAACTAACTCATCTGGCACGGCACAGTTTTTTTCTTTAACTCATTCAGGATCAATTATACATCCTCCAACTAATCCTGGATTAATTATACGTCGTGTAGTGTAGCCGAGAGTTTGGGAGGAGAGGCGAGGAGAGGCGAGGTGAGGTGAGGTGGTGTAACCTAGTTCTCGGTGTTGAGGAGATGGAGGAGGTGTAGGATGAAGAGGAGGTGGGGGAGGAAAGAGGGTATTAGACGAAGAGGAGGTGTAGGAGGAAGAGGTGGTGTAAGAGGGAGAATTGGACAAAGTGGAGGTGTAGGCAAAAGAGGAGGTGTAAGTGGAAGCGAAGGTGAGTGTAGGAGGGATAGAAGGAAGATGGGTGTAGGAAAGAGGGAAGGGAGATATAGAGGAAGGAGGGAAGGTGTAGGGGGATGAGGGAGGGAGGAAAGGAAGGTGTAGGAAGAGAGAGGGAGGGAGGGAGGGGGGAGGGAAAGAAGGAGGGAAGGTGTAGGGAGGGAAAGAAGGAGGGAAGGTGTAGAGAGGGAGGGAGGGAGAGAAAGTGTAGGGAGAGAGGAGTAATTTAACAGTGATCGTAACTTCACACGAGGGAGACTGAGGAGGGCGTCAATATCCCTGGTGCCCACTACACCTTCCCTCTCCCTAGCGCCCAGGAGGTGGCCCGAGAGGTGTGAGAGGGAGAGAAGTGGACGAGGGGAGTGGGAAAGAGAGGGAAGGAGGAGAGGGGAAAGGATGGGAGGAGATGGGAGAGGGAGAAAGAAAGAGGGAAAGAAGGGAGAGGGGAGAAGATGAAAGAAGGAAAAGATGGGGGAAGGGAGAAGATGTGATAGGCAAAAGGTGAGAGAGGGAGAAGAGGGGAGAGGGAAAGAGACAAACGAGGGGAGAGAGAGCAAGGCAGAATGTGAGGATTCGGGAAATGTGAAATGGAATTGGTAAGGGGAAAGATATAGAGAGTGAGAAAGAAATGGGATAGAGAGGGAGGGAAGGGGGAAGAGAGAGAAAGAAATATGTGAAATTATTCAAAGCGACGTAAAAGAAGGAATAGAAGAGGAAGAGGAGTGTGGAAAAGAGGGTGGGTACTGGACACCTGTTTCAGTTATATATTTAATTTAGTCTCCGCTCTCTCTTCCTCCTCCTCCTCCTCCTCTGATCGTTTTCTTTACCGAATCCATTTGAAATCTGTTGTTTTTTGATACTGTATTTTGTTTTTGTTTTTTTGTTACTGTATTTTGTTTCTTGATGCTGTATTTTTTATAATGTATTCTGTATTTGTTTTTTGTTACTGTATATGCTATTATTTTTGTTTTTTGTTAATTTTGAATTGGATTTTTTTTAATATATATAGTTTCTTTACACGACGTTGTATTATTGGCATCTTGAGGGTTAACCTTTGAGTCATGATATTAGAAAATGACGATAAACAGTTGAACATTTTCGACCAGATGAGAAAATATGAATTGGAGAAAATGAAAAATAAAATGAAAATAATAATAAAAATGTTTCGCTTTTTCTTTCTGATAGATGGATAGTAATATTAGGAAGAAGGAGGAGGAAGGCAGTAGGAGAAGGGGGGGACAAGGAAGGTAGAAGCAGAAGTAGGAAGATAGGAGGGGAAGGAGGAGATAAGAGGAGGAAGAAGGAAGGTAGGAGGAGCTTCTACATTCAACACTAAGTTAATACGAGGTTAACTCTCGTCAGGCTGTGTGTGTGTGTGTGTGTGCGCGTGCGCGTGTGTGTGCGTGTGTGTGTGTGTGTGCGTGTGTGCGTGTGTGACGTGTTTAATCATCAGGTGAAATAATCTTGGGTGTCTATTCTTCAGGTGATTGTGTAACTAAAGTGGAAGAAACTATTAGTGATGAGGGAGGGAGAGAGGGAGGGAGGGAGGGAGGGAGAGAGAGAGAGAGAGAGGGAGGGTGGATCACTTGAACTCTGAGCTAAGATGGAGGCAGCCTAACCTGTCACCACCAGCCCTCTACAACCTCCACCAACCACACCCTCCTTCCCCCCCTCTCTATTCCTCTCTCTCTCTCTCTCTCTCTCCACGTTTAAACAATCCTGTCAACATCATTCACGTCTATTTCCATTCTCCCTTTCTTTGGTTTTCCCCTCTTCCCCCTTTTACCTCTCACCATTTGCTTTTATCTTCTCCTCTTCTTCCCTTACCCCTCCTCCTGATATTTGGTTTGTCTATTTTTTGTGTAATTCCCAGCTTTATCCCTCACTTCCCTGTTTTCTCTTCTCACACTCCTTTTCTTTCTATCTCGTATCCTTTCGTTATTTTCGTTTTCTCTTTCTTCATGCCCTTGTTTTCAATATCTTATTCTCTAGTTTCGTCTTACTCTGATTCTCTCACTCTCCGATTCTTTTCCCTCTTATCTCTTCCCCCTTCCTCTTTACTATGACTTCCCACATCTCATTCTCCTGTCCTTCCTTCTTCCTCTTCCTTCCTTCACCCTCCCTCCCTCCCCCTCCCTCCCCTCCCCTCCCTCCTCATCTTCCCTTCCTTCCTTCCGTCCGTCCTTCCTTCCTCCCTCCCTCCTCCCCTCCTCCCCCCTCCCTCCCTCCCTCCCTCCCTCTCCCTCCTCCCTCCCTCCCTTCCTTCCTTCCTTCCTTCCTTCCTTCCTTCCTTCCTTCCCTTCCTTCCTCCCTCCTCCCTCCCTCCTCCTC